TTCGCATTAATTCGAAATAGTTTACGCAATATTACGCTTTTTTTACGTTTCGTAAATTATTTCGAAATATTTCGCCTAATTAAATTTGCTGATGTAATAGATTTTGCCAATTTTAAAGAAGATCTTGAAAATATTATTAACGATGGAAGCTATCATTTTGATAAAATTTTAGAAACAGATATTAGATTTGTAAAGGCAGAAAAGTGACAAAAAATATGTTCCAATAAAAAGATTAATAACTATGTACTCAATATTTACAATAAGCTCTAAAGATCTCATAAAATAAGTAAGCCTTTTATTATTTCATTTTAAGTTTATATATTTATTTTTTATTCTATTTAACTATAGATTAAAAAATTTTGCAGTTGGCCAATAAAATAGGAGAAAAAATATCCTATATTAAATTGTTAAGAAAGTAGTGATACAATAACAACAGATGGGGTGATAAATCAAAACCTCCAAATGATACTTCTGAATAGACTATTTTTGCTTTTTATATTCTGGGAGAAAATAATGATGACAAAAAAGATGTAGTTCCAAGTAGTAGTGGTAGTGGTAGCAATAATAAAGGTGCAAAAAGCACTAGAAGAAGTACTAAAGACAATATCAATAGAAATTATGATGAATTGTATAATGATTACGATGAATCCCAGAATGAAACTAATAATAATAATGAAGAATATGACAATTTTGGTAATGCAAATGACATTTTGGTAAATAAAAATTCCACCAAAACAGCAACATATTATTTTTTTTATTTTATAGCTTTAGATATTATATTACGTATAGTTGATATAGTATATTTTTTGTAAAAAAAATTATATTATTTGTATTAGTATTAACAATTGCATAATATATAGCATATGTGAATTACAATTGAGATATTGCTTTCAATAATATATTATATGTGAGTTATACTTTCCTATTGTAAATAAAAGTTATCAAATTATGAATTGATAAATATATAAATTAGTAAATAGCTCTATTGGATATACTGATAAGTCTTTAAAAAAATTAATAAGTATCTTGTATCTTTATGTTTAATAGAACTACAAGATATCTATCGAGTTTATTTAAGAATATTATCTAGACCCTATAGGACTATGAATATTATAATAAAAGGTATTTAATAATTACTGAAAAGTCTCAGATTTGTACCAAAAATCTGTTTTAAATTAGTTACTTATTAGTAATATTTCAGATTAATTTAGGAGATAGTTGTTATATATGTATTAGTAACTTCTAGAAAATAAATCAGCATACCAATAGATATCTGGTATGACTTCATTTAACTTGTGAAAATCTTATAAAGCAATTTTTTTATATTCTCTATTTTATATCTATACATGTGATAAAATTATTTTGGGGTCTAAAACCTGAAATTAAAATTTAAAAATATAATTTTTTTTGATTTAAAAGACAAAGAGATGAAATGATAAAGAATATAACTACCTAACTTAGATTTGCTTTTGTATATAAAAAATTCTAATTTGCTCTAATGAAGATGAAATAGTGATTTTTGAAAACCTATTCAGTGTCATATATAATCATATTACTATTTTTACAAATATTTTGTTTGGTTATATAATATAGAAAAATACTCTAAATACTAAAATAGAGGTTATATGGAGTGTCTTCAATTAAAAGGGCCCATTTTTACAATT